CTAACAACCCGCAACCAGCACCAGCATACCATGCCGTTCAAACAAATATCCAACTCCGACAAAATAAGACAAATAAAAATCATAAGTTCCCACACCCAAAATAATGCCTCCTCAAATGCATCCATCAAAACGCACAGTTATAGTGCAAAACATGCCATCTAGTCTATATTATGATTTATAAGATGTCCGTGCGTGCGTGCCTGCGACTGTCATGCCTTATGTGTCTTATTGCGCCTGAAAGGCGCCGCGTATCGACGTGAAATTTGGCATGCCGAATCGGTGGGTTGATGTCACCTCTGTATTAAAATTTGGGACGGATTGGCCCAGGGGTGCGCCGTCGGCACGTGCAAAAGGGTGCGCTCATAGAGATAACACGGAGTCGGCGAAAGCGGCGGTCGGCCGAAAATCGGGCCGACACGGCTAGCTTTCCCGCTTGATATCTCAGCAATGGGTAGACGCAGCGAGAAGCGGTTGCCACCAATGGATAGAGGAGAGACAGACCTAGCGTATCGATATAGTTTCATAGTATAGCACGCGCCACGTGCAAGACAGCACCCCAGGTTGTGAAAAATGACCGATTTCGTGCATTGTGACGGGAAAATCGATGCCGCTGGAAAACGGTTTGACGGAATGAAATCGGTGTGGTACCATTTTGCAGACAAATGTACGTGTAATGATAGGAAAACAAATAAAAAGTGATGATCCGTACTATTTCCTTAATAATGAAAAATTAATTTGAAAATTTGATTCGTGCGGAGCGCGACGTCCTTTACAACATCAAAACGTATTGAAAACGTTGATCACTGGCTATGAAACCTACATATTCGGAAAGAGCATGCTTTTCTGACCAATATCCACCCAAAATATTATCGAAAAGTCAATAAACTTTTGTGAAAATGACTCAAACAGACAACCGTGTTTTGTTAACGTTACGGGTATTTTTCGACAAAATCCGATCGATGGCTTCGGCAGGCAGGTCATTCTACTTTTCACAATAGCTATCAAAGCATGGGCTGCAATGCACCGCCCGCCAAGGGGAATTCCAAACACTGAAAATAAGCGCCTACCAGTAAACAGCACATTATTGTACTAGGAATAACTCAGCTACTACTGGGCCAATTGCGCTGAAACTTGGACTGTGGGTGGAGGGGGCACACACCTGGCGATGCATGGTCGTTTGTCACAGGTAGGGTGGATCGATTGCACGTGCGCACGTGAGGGGTCCACTTACACATCTCAAGAACGGCTGGGCCAATTTCACTCAAATTTTGTACACCGTTAGGAACAATTTAGAAGGGTGGCTGGCACAAGTCATCTAGAGTCTCAGTTAGCGCGTGCGCACGTGCAGCGGGCCGCTTTTATATCTCAAGAACGGCTGGGCCGATTGCGCTCAGATTTGGTACATCGCTTCGATAGAGGGTGATGAGGTTGTGAGTAGGGTAAGGTACGGTATGTGGTGAAGGGTAACGTATGAGTAGGATAGGGTGTGGGTAGTGTATGGGCAGGGCAGGGTACGGTATTGGTAGGGTGAGTTATGGGCAGGGCAGGGTATGAGTAGTGTAGGGTAGGGTAGAGTTGAGTGCAATAAGGGCCCAACTGACGAAAGGCTCTAACAACTCGTAACCAGCACCGAGACACCATACCGTTCAATTAAAACGAATATCAAACTCCGACCAAATAAATAAAGATGCAAGTTTCTACACACAATCTAATGGCACCATCAAAAATATCCCTCAAAAGGCACAGTTATAGCGCAAAACATGCCATCTAGTCTATATTATGAATTATAACATGTCCGTGCGTGCGTGCCTGCGACTGTCATGCCTTATGTGTCTTATTGCGCCTGAAAGGCGCCGCGTAGCGACGTGAAATTTGGCATGCCGAATCGATGGGTTGATGTGACCTCTGTATTAAAATTTGGGACGGATCGGTCCAGGGGTGCGCCGTCGGCACGTGCAAAAGGGTGCTCCCATAGGCTTAACACGGGGACGGCGAAAACCGCCAACGGGCGAAAATCGGGCTTGCAGCGCTCCTCTCCCGGGCTTATAACTCGGCGATGGGTGACCGCAGCGAGATGGGATTGCCACCAATGGATAGAGGAGAGATGGAACTAGCGTATCGATATGGTTTCATAGCATAGCACGCGCCACGTGCAAGACAGCACCCCCGGTTGTCAAAAAATGACCGATTTAGTGCATTGTGACGGGAAAATGGATGCCGCTGGAAAACGGCCTGACGGAATGAAATCAGTGTGGTGCCATTTTACAGACAAATGTACGTGTAATGATAGGAAAGCAAATAAAAACTGATGATCCGTACCATTTCCTTAATAATGAAAAAATAATTGGAAAATTTGATTCGCGCGGAGCGCGATGTCCTTTACAACATCAAAACGTATTGAAAACGCTTCTCAATCGCTATGAAACCTACATATTCGGAAAGACCATTCTTTTCTGACCAATATCCACCCAAAATATTATCGAAAAGTCAATAAACTTTCGTGAAAATGACTCAAACATACGACCGTGTTTTGTTAACGTTACCGGTATTTTTCGACAAAATCCGATCGATGGCTTATGGCCGGCAAGTCATTCAACTTTTGACAATAGCTATCAAAGCATGGGCTGCAATGCACCGCCCGCCAAGAGGAATTCGGAAACACAAAATAGGTGCTCCCCAGTAAACAACAAATTTGTATTAGCAATAACTTAGCCGGTACTGGGCCGATTGTGCTGAAACTTTGACTGTGGGTGGAGGGGGCACTCACCTGGCGATGCACGGCCATGTGTCGCAGGTGGGGTGGACCGATTGCACGTGCGCACGTGAGGGGTCCACTTATACATCTCAAGAACGGCTGGGCCGATTTCGCTCAAATTTTGTTCACTGTTGGGGACAATTTAGAAAGGTGGCTGGCACAAGTCATATGGAGTCTCAGTTAGCGCGTGCGCACGTGCAGCGGGCCAGTTTTATATCTCAAGAACGGCTGGGCCGATTGCGCTCAAATTTGGTACGTTACTTTAATCGAGTATGAGAAGGTTAACTATGTGTAGGTTATTAGTAAGGTAGCATATGGGTAGGTTAGGGTAGGGTAGGGTGGGTTTGAGTTCGATAAAGGCAAACCATGAGAAAGGCTCTAACAACCCGCAACCAGCACCAGCATACCATGCCGTTCAAACAAATATCCAACTCCGACAAAATAAGACAAATAAAAATCATAAGTTCCCACACCCAAAATAATGCCTCCTCAAATGCATCCATCAAAACGCACAGTTATAGTGCAAAACATGCCATCTAGTCTATATTATGATTTATAAGATGTCTGTGCGTGCCTGCGTCTGTCAGGACTTATGTGTCTTATTGCGCCTGAAAGGCGCCGCGTATCGGCGTGAAATTTGGCATGCCGAATCTGTGGGCGTGGGCGGCCTTTGTATTAAAATTTGGGGGTGATCGGACCAGGGGTGCGCCGTCAGCACGCGCTCGCGTGCGCCATAGGGTTAACACAGGAAACGGTCAAATCGACGATGGGGCGAAAACCGGCCTGCGGCGCCCACTTCCCGGGCCCAAAACTCGGCGACAGATTGCCGTAGCGAGGTGGGGTTGCCACCACTGGATAGAGGAGAGATGGGCCTAGCGTATTGATATGGTTTCATAGTATAGCACGCGTCACGTGCAAGGCAATACCCCCGGTTGTGAAAAAATTGCCTATTTCGTGCATTGTGACGGGAAAATCGATGCCGCTGGAAAACGGCTTGACGGAATTACATCGGTGTTGTATCATTTTGCAGACAAATGTATGTGTAATCAGATAATAGCAAACAAAAACTGATGCTCCGTACCATTTCCTTAATAATGAAAAATTAATTTGAAAATTTGATTCGCGCGGAGCGCGATGTCTTTTACAACATCAAAACGTATTGAAAACGCTGATCAATCGCTATGAAACCTACATATTCGGAAAGAGCATTCTTTTCTGACCAATATCCACCCAAAATACTATCGAAAAGTCAATAAACTTTTGTGAAAATGACTGAAGCATGCGACCGTGTTTTGATAACGTTACGCGTATTTTCCGACGAAATCGGATCGGTGGCTTCGGCAGGCAGGCCCAGGCAGGCCATTGAACCTTTGACAACAAGCGGTAGCGGAAGGCACCTCTCGCCAGGGGAATTCGCCAGTAAATAAAATGAATTTATTCTTGCAATAACTCAGCCGCTACCGGGCCGATTGTGCTGAATTTTGGGACTGTCAACGGGCACATATCGAACGACACATTACCATATGTAGGGTGCTAAATGCTAATGCACGTGCACACCTGGAAAGGAGCAGTTTCCTATCTCAAGAACGGCTTGGCCAATTTCTCTCAAACTTGGTACACACTACAGAACCCGTAAAATCAATTAGATACCATACAGTTATCGCGCAAACATGGCCATCTAGTAAGCATTAAAAATAACATGCAGAGTTAAAAAGCAGGTTCCGGCACCGTCTTCTGCTTCTTTCGCTGAAAACGTTCGTCCAAAACAGCAAAATGGCCTTTTTTTCGACAGAATCTAATTTCGAGTTCAGTATCGTCAATTAAACAGGTGCAGTGCATGACGCTGAGCCATGCAGCGTTAACTCCGACTCCGGAGTCGGAGTCGGTAAGATTTTGGTGACTCCGACTCCGACTCCGACTCCGGGCAGAACTGTCGACTCCGACCGACTCCAACTCCGACTCGGACTTCGACTCCGCAGCCCTCGTCACGGCACAGCAATTTCTAATAAGACATCAACATCAGCCTGTTTATCTGAAACTTGAAAGTACAAGATCTGATCTCGCAAATATATATATATATATATATATATATATATATATATATATATATATATATATATATATATATATATATATATATATATATATATATATATATATATATATATATATATATATATATATATATATATATATATATATATATATATATATATTACCCCAAGCAAAAGGCCGCCAATCTCACCTGTGTGTCAAGAAGACCCTATGCAGTTCTGGAGTGTCGGCTCCGTCTCGGCAGAGACATGCACCTCGCCTTCATGGGACGATATTTATATGTTTTCCACTATCAGCTCATGCAGGCGTGTTCCCACCCTGGGCCGGCTGGGATGGGAGGGGGTGGGGTGACGGAACAGCTGCTGAATGCAGCGCAAGGCTCGATGTCAACCAACAGGTGACACCCCTTATCGTGTCCATGTGCGACTTATGCCCAGATAGGTATTTCTAACTTGAGAAATTGTTAATTCACTTCTAGATATCATGGACAATTGGACAATGGACATGCCGTGTGCCACGAAAATATTCGTTTTAGCCGTTTATAAACGTTAGATAACGATTGATCCTTTTTGTTGATGTCAGATGATCACGATTGACCGTTAAAATTTATTTTGATGTCATTGGACGCGACAGGTCTTTGATGGTGAATTTGTAACTTGTAAGTACCATAAACGGGGGTGACTTTTCCATGTTTTCAACTTTAGACGCTTGTATTCTTTAAACTTGTTAACTTATTGGGATTACTCTATGTTCAAAACGCGGATGAAGATTGGCTCCTTGGATTTTGCTATTATCGCATTTATATCTTGCCTAAAAAAATAAATTTATAAAGAAATTGAGTCGTGGCAAAGTTGTAGTAACTGAAAAAGAGGTGACTTTGCCACTATGCCAAATAATGGTTTCGTTAACAAATATTTTTCAAGCATTTTTGTTCCATTGTATGGGGAAAAGCAGCCATCCTTGATTGTTTAATAGGAAATAATAAAGCAATTCGAGGTTTTTTGCTCTTAACCCGCGCCCCGCTGGGGTCTGCCGAGCCGCGCCCCGCTGGGGGGGGGGGGGCAATTTGGTCCCCCTTAGATCTCGAGAACCACGCAACATAGCCACAAGCAGCAAACGGCGTTGGATAGCCCCAACGGGGGACTACGTTGTGACCCAATTTCATTGACCTCGGTCAAACCGATGACGTCACAGGTCAGGTCAAAGGTCGAATTTTCACTGTTTACAGGCATTTCAAGAAGTGTGTTGTAAAATCGAGTTGAATGCATATCATTAAATATCATCGATAGTGAATTGTTCGTCAAACAGATATTTTGCTATTTGAGGTCACTGATACCAGGTCAGGTCACAGAGGTCAGGTCACTGAGGGTCACAATATGAAAATATCATGTGATGCATGTTTTATGGTCCATTTTACATGGCAAATGCGATTATGTGGGTTTGGCAACCTTTGGGGCCAGTTTAGGTTATGTTCTGGTGAAGGTCAGGTCAAGGTCAGGTCAAATAAGGTCAAATTTCAAACTTGATATTTTTGCATAAAATGGGTATCGATTCGATGCAGCCCGTCACGAGGAGTCAGAAGGTGGTCTTTGTTTTTCGCTACATGGTCTAGAATTGCTAAACATTGAGTTTGAAAATTTGACGTCATAAATTTTGACGTTTTTTCGCTATAATTTGGCCAAAAAAGTGTATCGATCCAAAATTTGGTATGTAGATAGAAGAGGGTAGGGGCTATCATATATATTCCGCTTTTTTCGAAATTCGAAAAAGTTTTGGGAATTTCGTGAGTTTTTTCTAAAAAAAAAATCATTTTTATTTTTGGGGGTCAAAATCCCAAAATTTTGAAAATCCGAGATAGCAGTTTTGTAGTGTAACGCAGATGCGCTACATTTTTTCATCTTTCATGCGGAACTGCAAGCTGTGTCACAAGCTGAAACATAGCCATCTGCAAGCGCCGCACAGACACGGTCAGCCGGCTAAATCGGCTGTGATACCCTCTCTCCGTCCCAGCTGGCGTCCATACAGACGGTGCAGCCGGCTCTGACAAACAGGGGTCCCCTTTAGATGACCACCCCACTTCCTGAGAACCCGGATCTGAAGTCAACAAATAGCATACCGAAACGCACCATCCTGCCGGTGTCGAGCCATTAATCAGTTTAGCCTTTGGAAAACAAGACTCTGTTCCACGCTCGGCACCCAGCCGCCGTCACAGAAGTCGACCTGGATTTCCACTGGAACGCCAAAACAAGAGAGGGGAGCGGAGACCGGCCCAGTGGATGAAATGAAACTCGGTCACCACCATGGAAGTAGGACACCTGGCCGGAGACATTCAAAACAGGGGGAGCGCAGGACTAAAAACAAGGGGAGCGGAAGGCCGGCCGCCACCTGGCGCCTCAGGCGCCGTAATCGCCGGCGGCGAGTCTGCCCGATCGCTGCGCGAAAGGGTGCGACTGCCATGGCCCGAGGGGACGCCCAAATTTTGTCAGCAAATCACAAACGTTTGAGGGCGGAGTCAAACGCAGCTTCTGAGAATAGAGGAAGAAGATTGGACAAGGTGATGCTACTCGGCCCTCTGAAGTATGACGTCATCAAAAGCATAAGTTGATGAGACGGAACTGGAACGCTCTCTCGCTTCTCTCGGACCACGGACTCACACACACACACACACACACACACACACACACACGCTCTCTCGGACTACAGTTGATCCACGAGACCTCCACGGCTGGACATCACGGCGCCGGCGGCGGCTCTGGCCGCCGGGCCGGGCGCTGGACGGACACGGCCATCATGTCAGCGACTCCATCTCAAGTAAGGTCACGGTGAACACGGGCACGCACCTAGTCCCTAAATCCTTCAAATAATCACCCCCCCCCCCCCATTGCTGCTATGTGAGCCACATTATATTTCCCCTTTTGAGGTGTCGTTCCGCAATATTTTAGGCCATTCAGTTCAGGTATTTCAATTTATTTTGGGACTTTCAGTCTAGGTAGCTTAATTTCACAATTCGATTTCGATCAATAATGTAACTGTGTGCGTGATACGATACGCGTGCCGACGTGGACCCTCTTCAGTCGTCCGGCGCCCCGTGGTGATTAAGGCGGACGGAGGGGATTATGCACCGTGGGGAGTCGGGAAAGGGACGGGCGACTGTGTACCGCACCGCGCGGCTTGTGGGGCTCAGTTGATGGGCGGCCTGGGCCCAGAATGTTTCCTTTAAATTTGACGTGTAAGGGAATTTAAGGTGTTGCGTCGGAGTATGTAAATAAATGGGACTTGTAAATATTGAAATACGAGTGTGAGTTATGCTGAAGGGCAGGGATCGAAGGATGGAGCATAAAAGGCTATATGCCAACCCACAGTCGGGAAAGAGGTCATTTCCAAGGTGTCTGGCCAGAGTAATTTACAACGATCAGTTTTCTTTATCTGTTTGATTTTACACAGTACACATAGGGATTATACAGGGAGCACACACAGAACACGCAGGACCTCCTTACCCTATGCTGGAGAGTGCTCTGGCCGTTATTATCCTACTCCTACCGTACCACTGTCCTGTTCCCATAAATATAACGCGTCAGCGGAATTCCTGGCGCTCCACTTTATCCGATGGTCCGACTACAAGCAGCACGCACAGAACACGCAGGACCCCCGTACCTTACCCTATGCTGGAGAGTGCTCTGGCTGTTATTATCCTATTCCTACCGTACCACTGTCCTGTTTCCATAAATATTACGCGTCAGCGGAATTCCTGGCGCTCCACTTTTATCCGACGGTCCGATTACAAGCAACACGCACAGAACACGCAGGACCTCCTTACCTTACCCTATGCTGGAGAGTGCTCTGGCTGTTATTATCCTATTCCTACCGTACCACTGTCATGTTTCCATAAATATTACGCGTCAGCGGAATTCCTGGCGCTCCACTTTATCCGATGGTCCGACTACAAGCAGCACGCACAGAACACGCAGGACCTCCTTACCTTACCCTATGCTGGAGAGTGCTCTGGCTGTTATTATCCTATTCCTACCATACCACTGTCCTGTTTCCATAAATATTACGCGTCAGCGGAATTCCTGGCGCTCCACTTTTATCCGACGGTCCGACTACAAGCAGCACGCACAGAACACGCAGGACCTCCTTACCTTACTCTATGCTGGAGAGTGCTCTGGCTGTTATTATCCTATTCCTACCGTACCACTGTCCTGTCTCCATAAATATTACGCGTCAGCGGAATTCCTGGCGCTCCACTTTATCCGATGGTCCGACTACAAGCAGCACGCACAGAACACGCGGGACCTCCTTACCTTACCTTATGCTGGAGAGTGCTCTGGCTGTTATTATCCTATTCCTACCGTACCACCGTCCGGTTTCCATCAATATAGTGCGTCAGCGGAATTCCTGGCGTCCCACTCTATCTAACGGTCCGAATACAAGGAGCACACATAGACTTTGCCGCACACGAAATATATGTAACTGTACCCCACATGGACACTGCAAGGGACGAAACCGGGAGATAGATGATGCACGTCACGCCCCTGTGCGTGGAAAGTCCACCGACGCGGCCACGGGTTAGGAGGGAGATGAGACGCGAGTGAAAGGGAAGAAGACTGTACACGTAGATAAATCGGATTTTCTGAATGACGCTGAGCCCGAATAGACCCCACTAAATAGTAGGCCTCGCTGGAGTATACGTGCAATAAGTCGCGAAATTAAGAGCAAGGAAGAGAGTGAGTTGAGGATTGATCATTGAGGATGAGTGCATAGCCAACGAAAGCTAATCTGTTCGGTTACCGGTGCGGGCCCCACAAAACCGCGGCTATACGGAGACGATGCAGGCAGCCCGGAGGGACCTACTATGCATTTCAGACCCCATGAGACCCTGTTTTTCGGCGATAATTTATTCAATATTTGTCCAATTTGCTTCAAATTTTCACAATGCACATTTCAGCTCAAGCGCCAATTTTTGTCAATATGGTCTCTTAACAAAATATCAAATTTTAGGATACTTGTCGTTGCCTCGTAATGTTAAAATCGGCTTCGTAAATCCGTCAGTGGAGTAGAGGCTATCCGTGCGTAGGCGTGACGTCACAAACACGTGACCATTAAGCTCCGCCCTCCCGGCGGACGGGGCGGTGACCTTGGCCGGTCAGTCGGCTGCGTGGAGCGGGCGGGGCAGTAGCTGTCGCACCGGGGCGGCTCGCATGGAGCGTAGCTGCCGTGCAGTTGTCGTTGCAGCCGTAACTTCATCGAATGAG